TGTGTGTGTGTGTGTGTGTGTGTATGTGTGTGTGTGTGTGTGTGTTTCAGAGCCGGAGCTTCTTTCAGCGGACGACAGGAGGATGCAGACCGCGGTGCGGAGCGTCTCTGCCGGGTTTGAACGGTCATGAAGGCCGGAGAAATATGAGAGAATTGATTTGTGACATTCTGGGCTTTATTGGATTTTTTTTACCCCCCTCCTGCAGGGTGAGGGTTGTGAATCTGGATGGGTTCTGCAATGGAGCATGAGTCCGAACCGTGAGAGGTCCTAATAATACAGACAAAAAGGAAACCAGGGGTAGAATGGGCTCTCTGTGTCTGTAGAGGTAAATACCACTCTCTGACTGAATCTGTTATTTATTATTTTAACCATATTTCTCTGACACATGTCATAATGTCTAAAACGAAGGTCCTGATCTTTTATTTTACTTAAAAATCACAAATAAAGAGACAATCATGTCAAAGAATAAGAGCAGCGAGTCTGTGAAGGTGGTGGTTCGATGTCGTCCTCTGAACCGGAAAGAGGAGTCCAACGGGCTCGCTGGGAAGATTGTGCAGATGGATTTGCGTCTGGGACAGGTGATCCTCCGGAACCCTCGAGCGCCCCCAAGTGAGCCCCAGAAGACCTTCACGTTCGACGCCGTCTACGATGCCAGCTCCAAACAGAGGGACCTGTACGACGAGAGCGTGCGGCCGCTGATCGACTCGGTGCTGGCTGGGTTCAACGGCACCATCTTTGCTTACGGGCAGACCGGGACAGGAAAGACGTACACCATGCAGGGCGCCTGGCTGGACCCGGAGAAGCAGGGCGTAATCCCCAACGCCTTTGACCACATCTTCACCCACATCTCCCGATCGCAGCCTGACAAGCAGTACCTGGTCCGGGCGTCGTACCTCGAGATCTACAGGGAGGAGATCCGTGACCTCCTCGACCCCAATCATGGTAACACCAGAGGCCTGGAGCTTAGAGAGAGTCCGGAGACTGGGGTCTATGTCCAGGATCTCACATCGTGCGTCTGCAAAAGCATCAAGGAGATCGAGGAGGTGATGAATGTGGGCAACCAGGCCAGAGCTGTGGGGGCCACGGACATGAATGAACATTCGTCCAGGTCTCACGCCTTGTTTCTGATCACAGTGGAATGCAGCCAGCCCGGTCCAGATGGGAGAAAACACATCCGGGTCGGGCGCCTCAACCTGGTGGACCTGGCTGGCAGTGAACGCCAAGCCAAGACCGGTGTCCAAGGAGAGCGCCTGAAAGAAGCTGCCAAGATCAACCTCTCTCTGTCGGCACTGGGGAATGTGATTTCAGCTTTGGCAGATGGACGCAGCGGTCACGTTCCCTACCGAGACTCCAAGCTGACCCGCCTGTTGCAGGATTCTTTGGGCGGGAATGCCAAGACCATTATGGTTGCGACTCTTGGCCCAGCCCCTCAGCACTACGACGAAACCCTCACCACCCTCCGCTATGCCAACCGTGCTAAGAACATCCAGAACCAGCCCAGGGTCAATGAGGACCCCAAAGACGCTCTGCTTCGCGAGTTCCAGAAGGAGATTGCTCGTCTCCGAGCCCAGCTCAACCACAGGAGGTGGAGGAACAAGCAGAAGAAGGAGCAGCTAGACTGCGAGGGCTGGGAAAGAGATGAAGATGAGGGTACTGAAGGTGAGGAGGAAGAGGTAGAAAAGGAGGCAGAGGAGTATGTGAAGATGGAGGAACAGCGGTTGGAAAAGGAGAAGGAGGCCATCAGAGATGATCAGTTCCTGATGACCGAGGAGAAGCAGAGACTTCTGGGAGAGAAGGAGAAGATGATGGGGGACCTGAGGAAGGAGCAGGAAGCTACCGAACAGCTAACTGCCAAGTACAAGGTGAGTCTACCAGGGTTGGGGTTGTGGGTGGCACCCTGATTGGTTAAAACCTACCAGCAGGTAGACAACCCTTTCCAGATCTCCTCTGCCTATGCTTGGTTTGGTGTTCACTGGATTAGATGATAGAAGTCAGAAGAAACAAGACTCTTTAGACCAGGCATGTCCAACTCCAGTCCTCAAGGGCCAGTCTCCTGCAAGTTTTTTGGGCGGCTGTGGCGGAGTGGTTAGGGGAGTCGTCCTGGAACCAGAAGGTTGCTGGTTCGATCCCCCGTCCAGCCATCTCAGTCGTTGTGTCCTTGGGCAAGACACTTCACCCACCTTGCCTACTGATGGTGGTCAGAGGTGGCGCTGGTGCATGGCAGCCTCGATTCTGTCAGTGTGCCCCAGGGCAGCTGTGGCTACAGTGTAGTTTGCCATCATCAGTGTGTGAATGTGAGTGTGAATGGGTGAATGTCTGTTAGTGTAAAGCGCTTTGGGGTCCGGAGGGACTTGAAAAGCGCTCTATAAGTTCAGTACCATTTACCARTACCATTTTAGATTTGTCCCTGCTTTAACACAGCTGATTCAAATAGATGATTTATCTTCTCAGTTTGCCATCAAGGTCTGCAGAGGCCCTAATTAAGCACTCCTTAGGTTCAGCTGTGTTGAACCAGGGCAACACCTAAAACGTGCAGGACACCAGCCCTTGAGGACCGACTTTGGACACCACTGCTTTAGACCATACATGTGGAAGAACCACAGCCACAAGGTGTTTTGCAAGTATGCGACCTACACACTTGTTACATCACAGAAACACATTTTTTAAGCTAAGAATTTAAAACAAACTTTAAAAGAGTAGCATATTGAGATTTTTTATTTCTAGTCATAACGGCAGAAAAGAAAATGCCACAGATGATTTCAAATGGCTCTAAATCAGATCTCCATCTCCATCTTCTTCCGCTTATCCGTAGTCGGGTCGCGGAGGTAACAGGTCCAGGAGAGAAACCCAGACCTCCATCTCCCCACCAACACTTTCCAGCTCAACCTGGAGGACCCTGAGGCATTCCCAGGCCGGAGAGGATACATAGTCCCTCCAGTGAGTCCTGGGTCTTCCTCGGGATCTCCTCCCAGTGGGATGTGCCTGGAACACCTCTAAAGGGAGGCCTTCAGGAGGCATCCTAACCAGATGCCCAAAACACCTCAGCTGACTCCTTTCGATACGGAGGAGCAGTGTTTTTACTCTGAGCTTCCCCCGGATGACGGAGCTCCTCATCCTATCTCTCTAAGGCTGAGCCCGGCCACCCTACCCTCCCTCCAGTAGCTAACAGGGCACCCTGAAGGAAGCTCATTTCGGCCGCCTGTATCCAGGATCTCGTTCTTTCGGTCATGATCCACGGTTAGGTCCACGATTCTAAATCAGATGTTTTTAAAAATATTGGTCTGAAATTTTTGTGTGATCATAGCTAAGAATGATTTTAAAAAATTGCTAGTCACTATTTAAGCTAATCACTAAATCAAATTTTACATCAAGCTATAATTCAGTGATTTTTAGACAAGCAAAGGTGAAAACTAATGTAGCAGTATTAGCCAAGAAACAATCTTTAACAAAATCTGAATTCAAATACAAATCTAAGATGGCCACCAATCTAATTTTAAATGGTTACAACTCAGCCTTTTTTAGAAACACTGAACTGAAATTTCGTATGATGGTTGCCAAGAGCAATGCCAGTGACATTCTGAAAGCTAATTTCAATTTTAAGCTAAGGGCTAAAGCTAATTTACAAAAGAGACATATTTCAGCCAAAGTTGATAATTGGTATAATAGTAGCTGACAATATAATTTGAGATGTCTACTTCAGCTATTTCAAATGGCCATAACTCAAACGGCATTAGAGATGCTGAGCTGAAACTTGGCGTATTGGTAGCTGAGAAGATCCCTACCAGACTCTGCAAATCAAAAAGCCAAGATGGCAAACTCTTAAAAGGATAAATAGTATAAATCAGATATTTTTAGAGATATTAAGCTAAAAACTTGCACAGCTCACCCCTAACCAGCCCAACATATTCTGAAATCAAATAAAATCCCAAATAGCCCCAGAGGCCCCAGGTGCCACCCACAGTCGTTTGTGGGTGGCACCTGGGGTGGCTAGGTGTCAGGGATGGTGCTCGCCACCCTGGCTACCCATCTGGCTTCGTCTCTGGTTCTTGTTCCCCCACCTGCTCTCACTGATTTATATTCTGGCCAGGCATCCGATCTGGAGCTCAGTGTAGTTTAAAATGTCAGTTTTCTCTTTATAGTCACACAACAAAGGCTGAGTCAGAGCCACGTTCATTAGTTGGCCTGATTTCTGGGCAGATCCTGTCAATAAGTCACTCGAGCAGAACAAGTGAGTCTCTGAACTCCACGACCCTGCAGCCTCAACATGAGCTGGATCCCCTTACAGAACAACCCCAGGCTCCAAACCGAGGGCATGAGAGAAGGAAGAAGATTTTTTTTATTGTGAGACAAGATGGTTTGAAAATTCTGCAGGAGTTGTTAACACTTGTCCTGTTATAAGTTCCTTTTATTTCCTGATTGTATAAATTCTTATCAAGCATTCACACTATTGAGATCCATTCATCTTCTGTATGTTTTTTAGCACCTAAACTGTTCTGCAATTTTTGTTTATTTATCAAAACATTCAGCTCGTCCAGATCATTCTGGTTTATGACTTTGGTTTTTTAGAAATTTATTCATTTTGAGGTATTTAGTTTTTTCTTCCATTTCTCCTCTCATGAAAAATAATAAAGCTGTCTGCAACAAACTTAAAACCCTTTAAAGTATTTATAAATCTTTACTGTACTTTTTAACTTTTTATTCTGGTTCAGCTTTTTTAACTTCTTTGTTGCTAATTTCAGCTTCCTTAGTTTTTTTTACTTTTTTGCTCATTTTAGCTGTTTTCTGCTAATTTTCAATTTCTATTGTTTTTTATTCTTTTCACTTTTTATTGTTAATTTAAGCTTTTATGTTTCTTTCTGCTTTATTTTACTGTTTTCATGTTCTGCCTTTTCAATACTGCTATAGCTGCTTTTTCTAAATTGGCATTTTAGTTTTTTTCTGCTTAATTCAGCACGTATTCTTCTCTAGCTTCTTTCTGCTAATTTAAGCTATACTTTTCAGCAATTTTAGCTAATTGCACCTTTCTGTGATATTTACAGCTTCTYACTGCTCAATTCAGCAAACATTTTATTTCAATTATGACCTGCCTTCAGTTCACAAAATAAAAGGTCAAGGTCACAGGTTAGTTATTTTTCTGCTTATTTTAACTTTCACATTTATTCTTTTTTATATATTGTCCACAAATTTTCATTTTTTTGCTTCTTGCAACTTCTTTCTGATAATTTCAACTTTCCTCTGATTTTTAAGCTTTTTTTTTGCAAACGTACTATTCTCTACTAATTTTACCTACAGTTCTGTTACATTTAGCTAAATTATTTCAGTTTACTTTGTGATAATTTAGGAAAACCACTTAATTCTTGTTCACTCCAGTTTTCTTTGAGTTTCTCATTGATAGTCTCTGTTTTAACACTAATTAAGATGTTACCAGGTTAGTATCGGTGCTCAGTTATGAAACAGACACGTATAAATAAATACAGCTGCTTCCTGTCGAGCAGCAGCTTCTTATCAAGCAGCTGCTCTGAACGCCTCTCCACTGGACTATTCTTAGATCCACTTTTCTGGGTCAAAACTGCATCAACCCTCAGATTCTTCACTGCACCTCTCATCGCAGTGCGCTGCCTTTTCCTGCCTCTGTTATTTGAACTTCCTTTTAGACAGTTTTTTATGGGCTTGGCAGCCTTTCGGTTGGGTGGTCCTACCCACTTCCAGCTCGGTTCTTAGAACCTAGCAGGCCAAGGTTCTGAGCGAGCCGAGTGGAGCGGACTGCAGGTCACTAACTGACCAGTGAGCAAGCGTCCTTCACAAGAATCAAACTGAGCTTTTTAAAAACCTCACATCCAGGATGAACAACAATGAGCTCAGAGGAAGTATCACACAGATATGTGAACATTTAAACTCTGACGTCACTGTACAGAACTCACGTTCACTCACATGCAGCTGATTAGAAAAGCGGCACTTCCTGTTTATAAAGCTGACTTCCTGTTTATAAAGCTGACTTCCTGTTAAATCAGAGGAGGACAAAGCCTGAATGGAGAGACTCAGGTCTGGGTTTGTCTGTGTCTGTGTGGAGGAGGTTGATGAAAAGCTCTTCATCTCTCAGCAAACAGGGCTGCATCTCTGAAATATTGATGAATCCACTCTGTGTGTGTCTGTGTGTGTGTGTGTGTGTGTGTGTGTGTGTGTGTGTGTGTGTGTGTGTGTGTGTGT